CTGACAGTGAGAACAATTAACCAGTGGAACAACCTGCCTCCAGAAGCGGTGAATGCTCCAACACTGGAAGTTTTTAAGAAGAGACTGGACAGCCATTTGTCCGAAATGGTATAGGGTTTCCTGCCTGAGCAGGGGGTTGGACTAGATGACCTTCAAGGTCCCTTCCAACTTTACTATTATTATTATTATTATTATTATTGTTGTTGTTGTTGTTGTTGTTATTACTGAATTTCACTTGCGTTCTCTTTTTTTCTGACAGCTCCCCTTACGTAGCAAAAATATATAAATTGTGCTCAATGAACTGGGACCATCAATTAAATGGCATTTTTAAAGAAATGTCCATCAAAATACACATTCTAAATCTCACAAATTAAGGAAGCTTTCAAATATGTAAGAAAGTTTTCATATATTTTTCAAATGTATAATTTTGTGTTCCTCTCCCATTCTTGTTAGCATTAATCCATAAATATTCCAGCATCCATGTCTTCAAATGAGACAAAATCAATAATCAAGCAATAGTTACTAAGTGTAATGTTCAAGCTGTACAATAGCTTATCATACTTGCTTTGTTCACAAACTGTTCAAAGTATCAGTGCTATTTGAAATAATCTGTAATCTCATGTGTCTAGACTACTGAATTGCATGTCAAATTCAGATAAAACTCATTTTTATTATTTTGGTTTCTCTCTCCCCCTCCCTTAACAAAAATCTAATTTACTTGTTGTTCCCTTAGGTACATAGTACATAGTTCATAATTCATTTGATGTAAAATGTCAGTTTAGATTTTTGCACTTCTCTGATATATGGGAAAAAACATGCACATTTCAATTTTCTTCTAGGAGACTGCCAGCAACTCTTGCCCCTCCCCCATGCAATTGAGTTGCTCAGAGTTTTGTGTTAAATTAAACATAGAAACTGTGAGGAATGATATTTACAAGACATACAAAACAAATATATGAATCTGTGAAAAAGATAATATTTTTCCTACAAGAAAGTGATCTCTCCCCAAAAACATATTTGATCCTTGAGTTACTTCTCAATTATAATTTAATACATCACAATTGCCAGGGGCTTTCTCCACATTCATATACAAAGCAATATTATCATACTTATATAAATAACTACCCATTGTAGAATTCCTTTTTGACATAAGCAGTATTAGAAAAGGAGTAAGAAATTAAAGGCATGAGACAAGAAATGGAAAATGAAATGCATCTATATATCTCTCTACATACAGTACTTCTATCCATCCTTGCTTCTACAAGACCCATATACCACCTTCAAACTGCTCAGTACTCTCTTTCAAAACATCTAATCAACCCATTCAGCTTTCTTGGTTTTTTTCTTAACCCATTCACTCTTCCTTTCTTCATTTTGTGATTCCAACCTTGTATATTCTCTGTACATCAGGGTCCCCAACCTGTGGATTGCAACCCACTACCGGGCCGTGGCCTCTTGGCCACTGGGCCACATGAATAGCTGGACAGTGATGCATGTATGTGAGAGCACCCCCCCACTCACACTAGTGCTGCCCTGAGCATCACATGGGCAATTGTCCTGCTTTAAGTGTAATGTGGGCACTAGCCTTGCCCTGATCGGCACTCCCGCCGAACCCAGTTTCGCACGGGTGCTAGCCATGCTCTCAGTGTTGCCCAGGTGCTAGACCCACCCTGAGCATCACATGGGAGCTAGTCCGACTCCCAGCATTGCGCAGGCGCTAGTCCCATCCCAGCATCAAACAGGTGCTAGCCCTGCCCCCCAGCATCATGCACGCACTCCCACTGCCCCCCCCATTTGCATCATACACGTGCATGTAGCCTCATGCCTCCCCCTTCCTTTCCCTCCAGGCCACCAACCTAGAAAGGTTGGGGACCTCTGCTGTATATGATCATTATGCCCATTTCATACCAGTACTAGTCATTCACTGAGGTATTAAATCCTTGTTCATTCAGTACCAATGTTTTCTTGACTTAGCACTTCTTGTTTTCTCTCTCATGTTTAAATACTTCGTTCTCATTTTATTCATCTTACTTTTAGGTTTCCTGAGGATTTCTGAAATAGCCACCCATCAGATATTCATGGAAGGAGAAGAAGGAAGGAGAAATATGAGTCTTTATCAGTCTTTGGCAGTCAGGCTGGAAGTTGAGTCATGGCAACTGAACTTCTTTTCTTGTTGGTTCAAAACGTTTCACTACTTATCCA